TAGGGGATCCACATCAGGGCGGAAATGCCACTGTTACGCTGGAGGTCACAGAGAAGGAAAGTGAGAGAAAAGACTGGATAAAGGGAACCGAGGAAAGGATAAAAGTTTAACTGGGTTCAAGAAGATGGCGATTGACGTTGCATTGACATTTTTGAAGATTGTAGTTATCGGGGAAGCAAGGAAAAGGAAGAGAGTTCCACAGGCGGGAAGTGCGAGAAGAGAAACTCTTTGAGTAGCAGTGGCAGTTACATTTAACTACTTCAACAGTAAAAGAATGAGACCTAAACGCCTGTCTAGTAGCACACTTAAACTTATGTAGACCGGGCACCAGGGAAAAAAAACTCAGTCGAGATGCCATGTCACGATCGATTACATTGCAGATCCCTTGGATTTTGTCAAGAACCTTGAGATGAGTAGCAGGTGCACCAGACAAGATATGGCATAAGTATTCAATGCACGGGCGAATGGTAGATTTGTAAATGTGCAAGATGGACTCTCACGAGAAAAAACATTTGGCACGACACAGTGAGCCTAATTTTCTTGCAGTAGATGCAGCTATTGATTCGATGTAGTCGTTCCACTTTAAGCCTTTTTAAAACCGCAGGCCAAGAAGACGTTGTTCTTCTTCTTTCCATAAGTCTAACATTAGCCATGCTGATGGCGGGCAGGAAAGATTTTCGATGGTAGTTGAATGGGAACAGTTTCGTTTTGGAGACATTAAAATTTACGAGCCATTTCCTGCACCAGCTAATCACAGATAGGTCCTTTTCAAGAACAGCGGCCAGGTTAACTTTGTCGTCTCTGGCAAATTTGCTATTGAGACAGGAGTAAATGATAGTGTTATCAGCATAAATGCCTACTCGGGAACTTACGACATCAGAAACAGCATAGGACGTAAGACATAGCCTGGAGGGGACACAGGCATTCGTGTGAAAGGCTATGGAAGCGAGCCCGTTCAAAACGACCTTCATTTCATGATTTGATAGGAACGATTGGATTAAATCAGTCGATTCAGTAATACCGTAGCCCTGGAGCTTACGTAGACGCCCAGGGTGCCAAACACTGTCAAACGCCTTCGAGATATCGAGACCCAAAACTCGAGCTTCGCCGTTATTATCAAGAGCTTGATATACATATTCAGTGATGGCCGTTAGCACATCAGCGTTAGATCTGATAAAACAGAAGCCATATTGTTTGTCAGAGAGTAGGCTGTGAGAGGAAAGGTGCTTAACCACTTCAGCACTGAGTAAAACCTCGAATGCTTTGCCGAGAGGCGATAGTTAGAGGGGTCAGAATGTTCTCCAAAGTTCTTAAAAACAGGAACTACAGAGGAGGACTCCCAAGAAGATAGGAAGTAGCAAGACAATAGTTGTAGAGTTTGAAGAGGACTAGAGCCCGCTTGGGGCACATTTCTTTAGTTTAGTTGTTTGTTTTACCAGCATATCAAACCTTTTGGGTTATTTAATGCTGAATAATTTGTTTGGTTTTTGTTTACTGCTTGTTGATCTTTTGTAAGTTTATTGTTTCCAAGATATAAGTAAAGGTGTTGTGATTTAGTGATAATGATTATATGCTATCTTTTTTTCCAACTACATTTTGTTATATAATTTTGTTGCTTTTAGAAATTCTAAAAGGTCATTTGGGTCAGTTTTGTTAAAGATGTCTTTCAGATTGTTTTCTTGATAGTATCTTAATCGTATTCGTTCAAGATCTATGCAGCTTGTTAATAAATGTTTCACCGTGTAGAGCTTAGGACGATGATTGGGATACCGTCACATCCACTTGCCATATATTCAATCAATTTGATCTGACATCTACAGCAGATAAGGTTGAATGCTTTGCTCGGAAATTCTCTTCCAACTCAACATTCAGCTCATCATTTGAACTACCTACACCTGATTTTCCCAATAGAACTGAGATACTACTGAGTGATATGCGCATAATCCCGACACTGGTCTCAGACATCATTTCTAAATTAGATGAGTTGAATGTTGAGTTGGAAGAGAATTTCCGAGCAAAGCATTCAACCTTATCTGCTGTAGATGTCAGGAGATCAAATTGATTGAACAGAAGGAAAGATTGACGATCTGCTGTTGCTCAGTATACTTTGGCAGAGCCGCCAGTAGAACCGAATTTGCGACATACTATACGTTGTTTCATTCTATCAGCGAACAGTAATTTCGCTTCTTTAACGACACCCTTGCACTCGTTACTACCATAGTCAAAGTGACGTCCGTTGCAATTAGACGTCTCTCTCTGGTACGGCCAAAAGAAGTGATTCCTGTTGGCCATACGGCCGATCATGCAGACGAGGAACAACGAAATGAACGTAGTTTAACATGGTTTTTTTACTTACTGGAATGAAAGCATCGATGCTGGCTTTCACCTCAGACGCGCATTTTTGAATAGGATGATTAAAAGCTTCATTCCAAGGGACGTTACGAAGGAAATAACGGAACTAGTCCCAATATGCTCGTTAATAACAAAGATATTCTGTTGATAGGAAGTTCTTGCTTGGTGGGGGAGCCGAATATGTTTAGATAGAACCGCATAATCAGAGTTGCCAAGAGAGCAGAGCTGCGTAATACAAGAGTCAGGGATAGAGGTAAAAAGGAGATAATGCAGAGAAGCGTGTCCCTCAGTGTTACTGGGGAAACGCGTGGGGAAGTCAACTACTTGCGTGAGAGGTTGAGTGATTGAGAAGTTAAGGGTTTGGATGCCAGTGAAGTCAATGACAGTGTTTCAGTGTTTAAGCCACCTGATATGGTAGGCATTAAAGTCACCGAACACAAATATAATTGCAAACTGGTGTAGGGAGATAGTCTATATTATCTGGAATAATATTTAGCAGGTAGCAGTCTTGATAGGAAGGAGAATGGTAAAGAATGAAGAGATAGCTGACAGTTAATTAGAGAGAAACGAAGACACATGTAAGAATGATCTGGAGATACAAGAGAGAGTTCCTTAGCCAGCGGGAGATGTTCGCGGCCATAAACTCTCAACTCATGAATCTGGACATTAGTGGCATAGGATGGTAGCCAGGAATCAAGAAATCAGAGGAGGAGATTGCAAAGTTAAGATTAATTCGCAGAGAGCTAGGATGTCCGGATACTTTTAGAAGAGGAACGATTCCACACTGCAGATATTGGTATGAATCCATGAATGTTGGAAAAAGGAAGGTTAAGGGGTTTAGATGTTTTTGTTGGGCTGGTTTAGGTTTATATATTTGGTTGTTTATAGTCATGATGTGTTATTTTGGTAAGGAAAGGCCTTTTAATGTAACATGTACAGGAAGGGAATTGGCGCAGACTGTAACATAGTGTGGCCTCGGGGTTGCCAACCGTAGGTGTTTTCAGGGATACCTTTCCATGCGCGACATGGCGCTGCTAGAACCCCGATATTATGCGACTGTTGATCAGAGCAGACTCTCAAGACATTGCGCAAGAGTTCGGATTCCTAACAACCAGTCGGTAGCAGCAACCAGAAAACTGCCAACCAGGTACTCTCAGAATGAAGAGACGTTGCCACCATCCACACATATCATAAAAAAAAAAATTCGTGACAGCACCACTATGAAGGCCTGAGAGAAGGAAACTTACCAGGAACTACTTCCTAAACAGGAAACAAGGGATGAGCCTCTACTCTTGTTCAAGAGAAGGGGGAGGAGTATGAGCCGGGCGATAGGAAAACCTATATACTCCTATTAAAAAAAATAGGTTCTAAGTTTTAACTTGTTAAAAGTCGAGATGTTCATTAGAAATTCAACAAAGAATTAAAAATGGCAGATACATACATCTGAAAGAACTTTAAAATTGTTTTGGGTGGATCTCCAGTTAAGTTACAACAAAATGGACACTGATAACATATTTGGAGTCGCTCTGCGGCCCACAGAACATATTTAACTGATATTAGGAGGGTGAGACAATAACAAGTAGTTGGTGAGGTGAGGGCAGTCCCAGAAAATTGCCAGAGGGTAAAGTAAAAAAGGGAAGAGAAATAATAGACAAAAACAAGATGACCGATAAATATTAAGGTTAATTGTAGTGAAAATGATGAACCATTTATACGTGAAATTTAGTTCCGAATTTAAACACTGAAAATACCACGGGCAACAGAATATGGTAAAGGAAAATAAAAAAGAAATAAATTAAGTAAAAAGGAAAAGACAAAGAAAGAGAGACAATAAACAGAAAAGGAAAGAAGAAAAAAGAATTTAAGTGAGAAGATTTAAACATGAATTAAAAATAGAAGGTACATAAGCCTGAAAGAACTTTACAAAACATTGTTCTGAGTGGACCTGTAGTTAATTTATACCCGAGTTTCGTTTTCTCTCGCTATACTTCCATGTCAGTGAATTCATAGTCTTTTTTATTTGTCTCTATATACGTGCATATGCATGCATTTATATTAAGGATTTGTTTTTTAAATTTTCCCGAATTAATTGCCACTTCGTCTTTCATTGATACCATATATATCGCTTCAGGCATTGGAGGCTTTTGACAAGGACCCAACTGAAGTGCTATGAAGTAATTCTTAAGATTGTGTAATATTTTGAAATCAATATTTACGTTTCCAGTTTTGTACAATGTCAGTATATCGCGATTATCTTACATATATGTGGATGTGTATTAAGGAATTCTCTTACATATATTTGGATGTGTGTGAAGGCATTCTCTTTCGTATACGTGAATGTGTGTGAGGGCATTCTCTTACGTATACGTGAATGTGTGTGAGGGCATTCTCTTACGTATACGTGAATGTGTGTGAAGGCATTCTCTTTCGTATACGTGAATGTGTGTGAAGGCATTCTCTTTATACGCGGATGCGTGTGAAGTGATTCTCTTTCATATATGTGGATGTGTGTAGAGGGAGGGTTGTGTGTGGAGAGAGTGTTATGTGCATCTCCGTTTGTAAAAAAAAAATGTTACGTGGCAGTTAACAAAAGTATTAAAGCAAAGGGCTTGCTAGGAATATTTTTTAATAAATAAGGGCATAACATGTTAAAACATTGGTTCCCGTAAGATCACGGAAGTTAAGCAACATCGAGAGTAGTTAATACTTGAATGGGTGACCTCTTGGAAATACCAGGTGCTGTAAGCTTGAATATACGAGTGATGTAATGAATAACGGCTTGGAATTGGAAATCGAAGAGCCGAGTTCAAATTCCATTCGAGTTCATTATATTCACTTACGCGCAAATACCTTTGGGAGTAGTATGAATTCACCTCTTCTCCACCAACTACGGATTAATTAGTAGGACTTGTATCAGTAAAATCATTATTTCCAAAAATTACAATCGAAAAATAATTACTGGCTTTAAATAACCTGCAAATGGTCGATAAGCCATAAAATCGAATCGATCAATTTCAATAAATATGACAGAGAAAGACAATGTAGACACAGGTATCAGCATTGAATAGTGACAATCAGTTTCACGTCAAAATGCAATCTTCATTCATCATGCAGTGTTGATTCTTACGTCCACACTGTCTATATCTCTAATCAATATTGAATACCCTTTCTGGAATAACGATATATAAATTTTTTTATATCAAAACCAGTTTTGGAGGAAAATATATGACAAAGTTTTCGTGTGACACGTTTTGTCCTTTACATAGTCCTATGAAGTCCTAAGGAACCAAACGCGTCACAAGAAAACTTTTCCACTTTGTCATAAGCTTTCCTACAATGCTCTTTCTCTCTAAAGAACACAAATTTTCAATATATATAAAATTTGGAAAAGAATGCTGAAACGTTTCCGGCCCAGTTCACTCCAAAACTCTAAACACATGACCAAATATCGATGATTTTTTTTCCCATTAAGAGCTTCCTGTATGAACACAGTTTACTCCAAAAGTAATACATCCTAACTCTTTTATTTTTATTTATTTATTCTCTTGTCCTAAAAAGTCAAAGGCGAATCTTAGTGGTATTCCCAACAATAATCCTCAATTTATTTATTTTGTTTATTCATTTTGATGCCTTGTTTTAAAGAGTAGTTTTACCAGAAATGCATCAAAGACCGGTTATTTCCATAACATAGCCTCCGTTTTTATGTCATCTTTATTACCACGAATAAAATATTCTCAGTTTCTATTTAGAATTTTAGTTAATCTAATGTTGGATTCCCCTTCTCCAATTCGAACAGTTGTTGTCAGTTGTGGTAGATTTGTTTGTTTGTTTGTTTTGTTTTACGGTATATCAACACCTCAATGTGTTATTTAATGCCGACCAAATTTTCATTGTTGGTAATATTTTTTTTTTCCAAAAATCTATTTCTGTTAATATTTTTTTCCTTCAAAAATCTATTTCTGGTACGAATTTTCCTTCGCTGGTAAAATATTACCAGCAATATATTTTTTGAAAAAGAATATTCTTTTTCAAAAAATATATTGCTGGTAATATTTTTCAAAAATGTATTGCTGGTATTAAGCCCTATTTTTACACTTTCATAGTCTTTTGACCCAAGTTTGGAGGTTAATTATTTGCCCATAGCTGGGACCCCAACAGGTGCTACCACTCTGGGTCAGGGTGGACCTGGGAACATCAACAATTAAGAGGTGGTTTCACGCTCCTCAAAGCCTCCTGACCAGAGGCCCTGCTGTTGGACGTAGTTTATCGTCATACCCAGAACAATCAGTTTTGGTAGAGTACATGCCAGAAGATAATTTCCGTATTATGGGGTTAAATAAAACTTATTTTTATTAAGAATTTGTCTCAACAAGGAAACTGCTGCTGGAAATCTGAAAGAAACAGCTAAAATCTGGGGACACATACCGATATAAAAAGGCTTGGAGAATTTAACACTCCTATGGCATATTGATAACAAGACCGCTTCAGAGGTAAAAATAATCGCTTCAGAGGTAAAAATGAATAAATAGCTTAACTCTGTGTAAATGGCTGTCTGGCCAAGGGTCACAACTACAAAGAAGAATAGTAAAGGCACCATTACATCAACAATGTAATGTAGGAAGTTATGGAGAACCATGAACGCCCACTACACTGATGACTACTATATAGTATTTAAAGCTTGGAACTATCATTCAAGCTGTGATACTTGCCTTGCCTAACAGAATTAGAAGGGTTCTTGTTAGAAGGTTGATCTGTGGAGAAATTAAATAAAATAAGAATAATAAAGAAAAAGAAATACATTTTCCATGATGTATAAATAAAGGAACCAGAAATTTTATTACCACACTTGGTTACATCAAATGCTGATTAGACGGCGCTGTTTATGCCTATAAAAAGAAAAATCTTTCTTTCTTCTTACTTTCTCGTTTTTGCTCTAAGATGTATTAAAACGTGATAAATAAAATAAAAAAAAAGAACGTTCCCACTGAGGCAGGTTTATTTACCTGGTCTACTGACGAATGAACTCTCTCTCCACTTTACAACGCATGGCTTTCGCACGTGTCTTCCAAAAATTTCACCTCTGAAGTAAATCAACCTTTTTTTTGGTCGTTCTAACTCTGCGCAAGACTGATTTGAGCTTGACAATTATAACAACACTTCTCCTTACTTACCCTAACTTGAACCAAAACAGACACACCCAAGAGACCATGAAAACTTTGCTTCACTACAGTTTATATAAGAAAGTAGAATAAACGGACTGCTGTAGAAACCCGCTTTTTTTGTAAGCTTCTCTTTTAATTATTTATACGTGAACATGCAAACACTACGAGACACTAACACGCAACTTTAAATTCTATTGGTCAAACAGTTTTGCTACTTTTCTCCTTTACGAGGAGCTACGGCCTTATTTTTGCATCTATTATGTAAGTTGTCATATAAAAAAGGTTTCTCTCACAGCGAACATTTAAATTTAAATGAGCTCTAATTGAGCTATGGTCAGAGTGGTGTAACGTGAGTCTTCCAGATGGGTATGTAGTGCTATGTCCAATATAATTATTCATGGATTTGGTTTGATCAGGAATGCAGTTCCTTAAGGGATATGTGAATTCGTAAGTAATATTAGTTCTCAATTAGGACTCATTTAAACACACACGGAAACCTACCAAACTTCATCCGCAACATACTTATAGAAAATACAAGTATAATAGCCTCATCCATATGTAAAAAAAAAAAAAAAAAAGGACTAAAAATAATAGAAGCAGTAACAATAAAAAAGAAGACGCCAACATTCAATAATATCAACACGGCCACAATGTACTGACCGTGTTTGGGTAAAAAAAAGATTCCCATCACTCGAAAAACATAGAAAATGCATATTCATTCAGTTAATTAAAAAAAAAAAATTGAGAATAGCTAAAAGAATAGCCGAAAGCGCTCGAATATATAAAACATTCAGGCGACTTTTAGACACTTTATACCCAGAAAATAAAATACAAACAAAAGAAAAACTAAATAAAAATGCTCAATCGTAGTAACTTTTCAGTCGTCTTCAATGACACACACAAACACACACACACACACATATATATATATATATATATATATATATATATATATATATATATATAATTACTAATAGAAATCTTATAAGTATAAGAAACTATACTCGCTCGGAAAACCTTCGGTGTATTGATTTGCAAATAAACAAGCCAATACCAAAGGGGAAAAAAAGGTATAAAAAAAGAAAGAACCAAGAACATGTACGTTAACCGAAAATAATCGTCCAGCATACGAGTTCAAGGCCCAAAGGAAAAAAAACCCGATGCGAGTATCCAAAATAACTAAATAAAGTGCTCAATACAATGAGTAGAGCAGACCTTCCCTGACGATCCGCTTAGGTGAAACCTTGGTTTGTCTGGCTCTCTAGGTTTAACTATATATACGCGTGTGTTCACTCTGTACGATAGTTTGGACTTGTCAGAAGTTTACATTTAATTTTATGTCGATGTGCACGTTAACAAGACAAACTATTGATTAGAAATTATTGATTCAGGTGTCCTTATTATTTTTCTATATACAAACAAGTGTGGACTTGTATATGTGTATTATGAATGCGTGTATTAGAGTGTGCAATATTTTCGCCTCTGCCCGACTAATTGAATCTCTGATACGAAGCATTAAATTTTATTAAATACCAGACTTCGTCAATTACAGTCAGTCAGTTGGAATATGGAGGCGAGGCCTTCATCCAGACATTGACTCTACATTATTGTGTGCGATGTAAAAGCTTTCTTGCTGTTTATATATTTACCTGTCATACGGTTTTTCCCACGAGTCCGTATGTCAAGCTTAGCCGGGGTGATCACACTGATTTGCACTCGACCGCTAAGTGGTCTTCTCTTAGATTTACGCAGCATCTGGCTTCTCTGAAAGACACTAAGTCTAAAGTCTCTTCTGGCATGAGATGAGATGCATAGTACAACTGTATAGGGGCGTTGGAAATTTGTACTAGTCGCAATTATAGTTAATATATTCCAGTAATGGGTATAAAATTTTTAAAAAAAGCAATTTACCTTGATACAGTGAAGTTTATTTTTGGTGTAAAGCGGGGGGGGGGTCATAATTTCATGTCTTTTGTAGATGTATGGTTTCAGAACAAACAGTTTTATTTGAAATGTTGGTACTGCATGAATTTAAGCGTGCTACTAGGTTGGCATCTCGGTCCCACACTTTCACTGTCGAAACGGTTAAAGGTAACCATCTCTTCTACTCGAAGAGCTTCTTATCTCGCACCTCCTGTCAGTGGAACTCCCTTCCTATCACTTGTTTCCCTGATAGCTATAATCTTCAAATATTCAAATGTAATGTCAATCGACATCTTCTGATGCCTTGACCTTGATCCCTGTCCTTCTCTTTATCCTTTTCCCAAACACTCCTCTTTACTCTTGCTCTCACTCTCTGTAACCCCTTGTGTGCTGGTGGCACTCCCGCCTTGCTTGGAGCGATTTGCTTTAAAAAAAAGGAGTGGGCATGTATCCTATATAAAGTTCGTACATTTATGTGGATGTTATTACTTAGAATTTACTGGAGAAAATGAACTGTAAGAATATTGACTGAGAGACGCTGTCATGTCGTTTCAGTCATCGGTGAGTTTTTTCACCTCTAGCCGCTTCGCCTCCCTTTTTTTCAGAAAAAGCGTAGATGACATTTTTTTAGTTGACTGTCTTGACCTATTGCAAAGTTTTG